GCACTCCCAAGCGGCGCACTGTAGCAGTGCACCACCGGGCCGGCCCCTAGAAGGCCATGTTAAAAATACGTTTTTTCCAATAAAAGTAATACTTGATCACTGATGGGAATTTTTGAAATGCTGTATAGTATCAGGAAGAAAACTTTGAATCATTTATAATTCCACAGTATGTACCTGTATACCTTCAAAGTTGGTACATTTCTTCCAGTCTTTTTACTACTCACACATACAATATATACACACATATTCATGTAATTAATATCAAACAGCCCACGTGCCTTTGTATCTTGCTTCTTCTATACCATAGCCTACCATAGCATTTAAGACATATTTGAAGAAAAAATAAAACATTGACTGACAGACTTAATCTAGGTCTGACTGGCAGGGAGTATAACAAGACTATAGAGATAGAGACTGTGAGAAAAGGAGAGAATGTTGAGAGAGAAATGAGGAATTTGGATGTATGCAAGCTGAACTTGCAATGCCAGTGTAATCTGTACATAAAAATTACATGTTGGGAAATAGAGATACTGGAATGGAATTTAAACGGGAGGTCAGGCCTCTCATCTAAATTGTATTTATTAAAAAAAAAAGCCACACAAGATTCCATGCTGGCTGATTAGCTGCCAAAACCAAACTAATTAATTAATTTTATTAAGGAGGTAAGGATTTTAGAGTCATTGCAAAGAGTGGAGAGTAAAGGCCTAGAGATGGGAGCCCTACTTGAACGAGTACAAAAAGAAATTGAGAGTGAAAGAGAACCAGGGTAACACTCTCATAGCAGGAAGGAGAGCCTGTAAAGGAAAAGCAAAAATAATATGAGGGAAGAAAGAAAAATTAACCAATCCAATATTTCTTCAAATAAATTCTTAGCAACTACTCTGTACCATGTGTTATGCCAGGTGCTGAGAATATAAGAGAAGGAAAAAGAGCTCAAAGAATTTCTGTCACCAAAGTATTTTATAGAATATGGTGAATTCAATAATAATAGCAATATGGAGAGAGGATTCTTGTGTAGGGATGTGCCATCTGGGAAGCTTTCTTATAGGAGTCGGTGCTGAGCTATTTCATTCTAGATGAGTTGCCCAGGACAGATGGGATGGGGGACATGAGAGAAGGCAGGGAAGTAACTAATAGCCCGGATTCTAGTAGGTTCCACTAGTACTCAGTGGTACTGAGGGGTGAGGTGTGGAATGCTCATTCTTACTAATGTTTGTTTTATTGTGTTTGTTTGTTTACTGTCATGGCCACCCAACCTTCATCCACAAGTTAACACCCATGGATGGTTCTTACCTGAATCAATTATTAATATATTGGTTGCCAAGTGACAGTTCTCGGACTTTGTCAGTCCATCCACATTCATTAGTTAGCATTCTGTGATACAGCACAAGCTTTCCCTACTTCATGTGTCTAATGAGTGTTGCCTCATAGATTCTTATTTTATTCAATGGATTATTATCCCTTACTGCTCACATTATTTATTTTAATGTTCAAAATTCCCCAGTGTGGTAGTGGGCGGTCCTTCAAATTGGCACCTGCATGCTTTCAAACATCCCATCAGTCTTTGAGCACTTCAGTGTGATGTTCTAGGCTCACTGTATATTTTTCCTGCTCACACCCTGGAATTAGCTATTTTTCTAAGGAGTCTTAGTGCCTTTTAGTGGAGAACAGTATTTAGAAGCCAATATCTTGGTGCTCATTCCTACTGATGATGATTGAAATATTTGAATTTGGATTGTGGACGTGATGAGTATTACATTTATGTAATGTAAAATTCCCTGACCTTGGTAATTGTACTGTAGAGATGTAAGATAATCTCTTGTTCTTGGGAAGTAGACACTGAAATTCTTAAGGGAAAGGGACACAGGTGCCAGCATGCGACTGAGCAGGTAGGCCTCACTGCCGCTGGACTCCATCCCCAGCCCAGCCGAGTGTGCACTGACCAGAGAGGTGCCTCCCTGGAGAGGCCCAATACCCAAGGCACCAGTGGGCGACCAAGCAGACACTGAGGCAGCCATGCCAAACTGGCAACCCCAGCAGCATCCTAGCCAGACAATATCGTCGAACCAGTGGACTGTGAAATCCCCTGCCACAATGACTAAACCTCAAAGGAAAGATACCAGAAATATGAAAAATCAAGAAAGTACACCACCAAAGGGTAATAACTCTCAAGCTCTAGATCCTATAGAACAAGAAGCCCTTGAAATGTCTGACAAGGAATTTCGAGTGATAATTCTAAGGAAACTAAATGAGGTACAAGAAAACTCAGCTAGACAACACAATGAAATGAGGAAAATTATATAGGACCTGAAAGAAGAAATTTACAAGGAAATCAATGCCCTGAAAAAGAATGTAGCAGAGCTTGCTGAGCTGAAGAATTCATTTAGCAAAATAAAAAACACAACAGAGAGTTTAACCAGCAGGCTAGCAGAGCAGAAGAGAGAACTTCTCACCTTGAAGATGGTCTGTTTCAAATAACACAGGCAGAAACAAAAAAAAGAAAAGAAAAGAAAAAAGAATTAAAAACATTGAAGAAAATCTAAGAGAGAGATAAGAAAATCTTAAATGCTTGAATATCCAAGTCATGGGTATTCCAGAGGGGTGGGAAAAGGGGATTGCATTGAAAACATATTCAACAAAATAGTGGCAGAAGGGCCGGCCCGGTGGCGCACTGCTACAGTGCGCCGCTTGAGAGCGC